CAGGGAACATAGAATGCGAGTGGCCTCAAAATATCAGCATTTATGTATATTATACTATTATTATTATTTTTATTGCTTAGATGGGTGGATGAGCTTACAGTCTACCTGGTGTTAAGTGGTTACTGGATCCCATAGACGTCTACAACGTAAATATACCACCCACCTTGAGATATAAGTTCTAAAGTCTCAAGTATAGTTTACAACGGCTGCCCCGCCCTTCAAACCGAAACGCATTACTGCTTGCTTCACGGCAGAAATAGGCGGAAATATTAGTTTTTGTGGGTTTGGTTTTTACTGCGCGATATTATTCGTTCATTGTGTAGGTAATTCGTGAGCGTCTTGACATGTTCTCTCTAGACCATCAGCTTAGGTAGAAAAAAAAGATGACCGTACAATTATTTATAAGTTCGCTCTAATATCCTGACCAGTATCGATAGGATGTTGGAATTCTTAATGAAGGGACGGTACCTGGGACAATGATGCAGCAGCGGGGTCATGATCCTCAGTAATGAGGAAATTGAAGAGAGGAGAAGAATCGAGAAGATAAAAAAAACGAATTTCATTGTTACCTCGGCGAGCGTGTTTGTTTAGTTTTAAACTATATACATTTTTATTTAAGGCTTGATTGTCAAATAAGTGAACAAAAAGTAAACGAATTGATGGAAATCGATTCGAGTCTGCGAGCGTGACTGAGTAGTGGTAGAAATAGGCGGGACAGTGGTACCTATCCAGTCACACTCACAATACATCCTTCAACAAGTTTTTTTTCCGTATATTATTTACACAATGATTTTCCGTCATCGTGAAGTTAATTGTATTATTACGGTAAGAGTAACGGCCATTTATCGCCGAATAGTCGAACGAATATCTAAGGATCTAGTAACACCTAGAACGCTCGAGAAGTACAACGCCATCTGTTGTCAAATGGCGGAAACGCATATCGAAAATACTTGACTTGTCAGGAATGTTCTCGATAATTCTAGAGATATCGTATCGGATATAAAAACGTTGCAGAGATGTGACGAAGGCAGTTAGCAATTACTCGAAGCGAAACAGCGAACGGATCACCTGAAGCGAAGCCGAAGAAGTGAATTGAGAATTTTAAAGTGTTTTATGTCTTAAAAACAGTTTATAGATGTACTTTGGTGGAACATTTATTTATCCCGAACCCCAGCCCGTAATAGTATTGTCATTGCCTGCCTCCTAGCCTACAAAGATTTTAATATGCTTTGCATTCTACCTCACGAATTGTGTGTGAGAACGAAAAAAAAAACATGATGTCAATCATGAAGATGAAACCGAAAGCATCTAATGTGTGATATTTTTAGCCCTGTTGGCCTTTGTACTTAGCGTCACAGCTTTGCAGGTTCAATGAACTGTTGATATTTTTTCTTTTCTGTCACGCTAGTAGAGCATGACTGCCAAACCTACCATCTGTTTTCGGATCTTTCTTCGGATATGCCAATGCAATATGGAACCATGTTTAATTCCTGTGGTCTTATTTCGAACATCGTACGCAACTTTGAATAATTCGAACACAAAGCTGACATGGTTTTTTTTCCCTACCTAAGCCGATAATCTTGAGAGGCTATTTCAGCGTAACCTTAACTAGTAGGTGAGCTCACGGGGCTCAAACCGGAGTGATACTGATCGCGATCTGATATGATAAATGAGGACCTCGGTCCTCCGCCTCTCCCCATTTCTCGCAGGAGACTATTGTAAAAGGCGCGCAAGGTGAGCTCGCAAAACCAACTAACGACTAAGCCCCACCGAGCTCCACCACACCGGCTACATGATACCAACGGTACAGCAGTGCACGCCGGTAACCGTCCTGATGATACAGCGCGATTTCATTCCCGGGAAAACCTCGAAGGACGTCGTTTCGAGAGGCACACTGTGGGTGGCATCTAGGAGCCACCTTGCACCGCCTCACCACTGGACCGACAGTTGAGTACCGGGCGTCCCCGCACCTGGCACCCGATAGCTCCTACGGTGACTTCTCGGCCGCGCCGCCCACCCCGCCTAATGCGCTGAGAAGCTGAAGAGGGATCCCCACCAAGTCGCAGAACCTAGCCATGGGCTCCCACAAACTCCGGTCCTTTACCATACCATAGGATCCTGCTCTAGTACCGCGACGAGGTTTCTCCGCTGGCGCTCTCAACGCGGGCACGCTTGGAGTGTGTGCTGAGCGTCATTGTAAGGGTGTCCGCATTGGTGGCCCGCATCGGATGTGGCTCTCTTCCGCAGACTCTCCACAGGTACATCCCGAAGCAAAACATCCAAACACCTAAGCCTAATATCTATATATATTATTATACTATAGGTATAAATGAATTGCTTTTCGTTATTCTCGCTAAAACTCGAGAACCGCTGGACCGATTTGGCTAATTTTGGTCTTAAATTATTTTTGGAAGTCCAGAAAAGGTTTAAAAGGTAGATAAATATGAAAATGCTCGGAATTAAATAAAAATAACAATTTTGTTTTACCTTTGATGTGTCGGACGGATTTCTTTTGTTTGTTTTAAGTTTAGTTATACAAAAGTTTAGGTCTTTTATTTATCGATTGAGGCACTACGAAGTCTGCCGGGTCAGCTAGTACATATATAAAAAAATCCAATGACAAACTGTAAAACTTTCATCACTAGGTACTTCCTATTAAAACCAGTAAGTTTCATGAGAAAACCCATCCTGATGTCGCGTAGGTGTTTGGATGTATGTAAGTAACCAGACTCGGAGACAGTAGATTTATTGTCCTGTTTGGGACCAACACAATTAATTACTAACGAAGAAAGCGTGTTTCTAACTTATGTTATAGTTCTTTGTTACAAGTGTCAAAAGTGAAGGAATAACATCCTATAATAAAAATGAAACCCGCAAAATTATTATTTTCGTAATTACTGGTGGTAAAACCTCTTGTGAGTTCGCACGGGTAGATACCACCACCCCGCCTATTTGTGCCGGAAAGCAATATTGCGTTTCAGTTTGAAGGGTGGGGCAGCCGTTGTAATTTTACTGAGACCTTATAACTTATATATCTCAAGGTGGGTGGCGGCATTTAGGTTGTAGATATCCATGGGCTCCAGTAACCACTAAACACCAGGTGGGGTGTGAGGTCTTTCACCCACCTAAGCAATAAAAAAAAATCCACTGACGAATAAAAAATATACTATTCGTTTGAAATAAATAAAAGTGTTTAAGCAGTTAATTTTCAAGGAAAATTCAGTTTAAATCGTAGTTATGTACGTAGTGTGTCTCTTGAGCTGCGTCTTTATATATGTAAAAGGTCTGGAGGGCTCGTGAGAGGGCAGTAATGAATGCGACGAGGGTACCTCGACGAGCGAACACTTTATGAAGACAAAACAGTATGCCCGTGCGTGTAGCTCTTGACCCGTTTCGTGTAAACGCTGGAATTTTCAATTTATATCAAGCGACAAATAAAATTGTTCTTAGGTATATTTTGTTGTCTTTAGGATTTCAACATCGTTTTAAATTTGGATCTTGAGCGTTATGAAGATGTCTCTGGATGTGAGGCGTTTTTTGAAAAGGCGAATCACACTAACCCACCTATAGATCAAACTTGAAATTTCGAAATTGATATTATAGACTAGCTGACCGGGCAGACTTCGTAGTGCCTCAATCGATAAATAAAAGAACTAAGCTTTTGTATAAAGTAAACTTAAAATCAAACAAAAGGAATCCGGCCGACGGGGGACACATCAAGGGAAAAACAAAATTGTTATTTTTATTTAATTCCAAGCATTTTCATATTTATCTACCTTTTAAACCTTCTCTGGGCTTCCACAAATAATTTAAGACCAAAATCAGCCAAATCGGTCCAGCCGTTCTCGAGTTTTAGCGAGACTAACGAACAGCAATTCATTTTTATATATATATAGATAAATATTCATAGACCTTTGAATTGACATAGATTAACTTCGAGTTTCCTGGCTGAGCTCGTGCTCGCTCACCATGATGCTGAAGCTCGAATGGTCTTTGTGTCACCAGCTAAAGCACCATAAAAAACTATAAAAAAATCTACTACTGAATGTATGTCTGTAACTATTTAATTATCTCACCAAAAATAGTTAGTTCCGCATCCACTGTGCATGTAACAGTATCCTTTTTCCAGTACTGCAAAGATCCCTAGTAATCTCACGGTCTATACACGTAATAATCGTTAGCGCATTCCCATTAATCAACTTCCCCGAATATTTGTGACGCGACGTCTCCTTGAACCCTTGCGATAGAAATATTCCTTTATCGAAATATCTGGATAAGAAGAATTTGTTTATTGGGGTGCTGAGTTCTGTTGTGTGGTATAAACAGCTTTGATGTAGGGTTTTGACCTGTTTTTAAATCTGTTCGTAGATTGGATATCTGTATTGCCCTCAAATCCATCGGGGAGATAAGTTAAAAATTCTCAATGTTACTATATTTTTTCATTAGCATTACGTCTTTAAGTGTATTTACTATAGCTATATGCATATGTACATTTAGTAGTTTGTGGATTGTATTCTAAGACTTATGTCTTTTGATAATCGGTTTTAATAAATCACACTATTGCACATCAAAGGATCTTTGAAGTCATCGTGGCCTAAAGGATAAGACGCGCAGTGCATTCGTATCAAGCGATGCGACTGTGCTGGTATTTGAATCCCGCAGGCAGGTACTAATTCTCCTAATGAAATACGTACTTAGCAAATGTTCACGACTAACTTCCCCGGTGAATAACATCTCAATATCTCACTAAATGTAGTTGAATAAATATAGGGATAAATTCAATTTACCAGGATAATTCGGTAAAGAAAATGGCTTGTGTGTATTAGAACTATAAATATCAATTAGTATTTGAATATCACATTCAAAAAACAATTTACAATAATTGTCGAAAACTAAATTAATCAATCTTAATTCATTTAGCTCTATCATGTTGTTACATATTAATTAATGTCTGTTTTTGTTTATATCAAATAATAAGCGATAACTTTTATTTTGTTTCAGATTAAACGTAGTGATTCTCTCGAAAAATCGGGTAAGTTGTTATTTGTAAATTAAAACACACCTAGTTCATCGGGCTATCTTTCAGTTTATCTTTAAAAATCATACATCTCGTTCTCAGAAAGCCTAGTTTTTAAATTTTAGTAAATAGATTTGAGGGAAATTCAGAAATTATCCAACACCTGGAATCATCTAATCGTGAAGATGAAAAGTCAAATAAACAAACTGTCAGACCTCGAAATCCTGTTAGTTTAATCGGTGTGCAAAGAATCGTAAATGTTAGGAATATTTTTTTTGGCAAAAATATCGACGGATAACGTATCGTATGTACACCTTAGACGTTATTTAGGTACACCGCCTACGGAAAATCTTCAAGTTTTCATGCTCTCCTGGTACAGCGACGAATGGTTGATTTGACGTTACGTTCTAGCAACGTCCGTGGCCTAATTAATTAACCAATCCCATACAACGTCTCTGAATTCCTCTCCCCCATAATAACCCAGATTAGCCGAGATCTCGCCAAAAATATTGGAAAAAATTGGAAACGTCTGAATTTTTTTTTAATTGTTTATATGGGTGGACTAGCTCACGGCTCACCTGGTCTTAAACAGTTAACGGAGCTCCTAGACATCTACAACGTATAATAAATGACGCCACACACCTTGAGATATGAGTTCTAATGTCTCAGTTTATAAAGTACAACGGGGGCAGCCCTTCGAACCGAAACGCATTACTGCTTCACGGCAGAAATAGGCGGGGTGGTGGTAGCTACCCGTGCGGACTCATAAGACTACCTACCTGTCACCAGTAAAATAATGTAAAGACAATAAAAAAAAAAACGAGATTAAACCATAGAAGTAGTTTTAAATCAGAAATACATTTCAAAGTCGAGTCTCAAGCTTATTATAGTGGTCGATAAGTATTATTTTACTTTGATGAAACACAGGAAAATGTGACTAAAAGGTATGTATCCTTTCATTTTATCATCAAAACAAATTTCTTAGAAGCAAGAAATGAAACATTTATCCGAAATTCCTTGACGAAATTCAATTACGTGATTTTTAAAGGAACTGATTTCATTCTCGACATGAGTGGCTCTTATTCGGGGCCTTTATATTCAGGTATAAAACATTTAGGAATTTAGGTTGGACGGGTATTTATGTAGGCACACTGAAACCGTTTTTGCGAATAAATTCGATTAGCTTTTCAGAATTAATCATATTTCTATTTTAAGTGCTATTGGATTTATGGTAACTAACATATTTTATACATATGTGTATAATTCTCAAATATATTACACAGCCTCTTAGATTAATTGGCCCAAAATATATGTATGTACGCGCTGGGGTTCAGGATAAATAAAAATTCTACCGAAGTACAAATTGCAACTGTATTAACACTTAGAACACTGAACACGAACGAACACGAACACGTTAAAATTCTCAATTCACTTCTTCCGCTTCGCTTCAGGTGATCCGTTTGCTGTTTCGATTCGAGTGGATTCGATTACTAACTGCCTTCGTGACATCCCTGCAATGCTTTTATAGTCGATGCGACATCTCTACAATTATCGAGAACATTTCTGACAAGTCGAGTATTTTCGAGATGCGTTTCCGCCATTTGATAATAGATGGCGTTGCACTTCTCGAACGTTCTCGATTTTACTATTTTTTGATATTTGTTTCTGCTATTCGACGATAGATGGCGTTTAAATGCTATAATGTCTTACGCAGTTACAATTGTAGCGAAAAGTTTGTGAAAATACAACTTTATGCCGATAAGAGTGCACTTATGCGTGCCGTGGTAACTGTTGTTTGACTATGTTCCTGACATTAGAATGTTCACAAACGCATATTTATAGTGTTCAGACTTACTTGCTTTGGTGACAATCAAAGTAAAAAACCTCGCGTTTTTGCTCCTTTATATAATTGACTGATTCGGTGGTGTAGTAGTTGATTGTTGTGTCGAGGGTCGTGGGTTCGATTTCCATATCGGGCAAACATTCTTGATGAACTTTGTCTGGGTGTTTATTATCTATATATATATTTATTAAAACATATATTATACATAGTATATGTAAAGAAAAACCTTTTTTATGTAATTTTTATATAAAACATTTGAAACTTTATAATTAAAAAAAAAGATTACTTAAGATTACTTAATACTTAATTCAATAATAGTGAAAAATAATAATTTGTGGAAAATAAGGGCTTTAAATGTTATTTTCTTAATATTGTACAGAAAACTCAATTAAGTATTTTATTATTGTTCAACCATATTTAGAATATTCCATATCCTTATATATATTTATAAGTATGTTTAACAGTTTCCGATAGTCATAAGAAAGGAAATCCTAAATTGGAGCCAGATGACCGTGCGTGATTTATTCTCAATTATTATATTATTTTTATTAAAATACAAAGGATGTTCCCCTATTTTTTTTTATTTTTTTTATTGCTTAGATGTGTGGACGAGCTCACAGCCCACCTGGTGTTAAGTGGTTACTGGAGCCCATAGACATCTACAACGTAAATGCGCCACACACCTTGAGATATAGTTCTAAGGTCTCAGTATAGTCACAACGGCTGCCCCACCCTTCAAACCGAAACGCATTACTGCTTCACGGCAGAAATAGGCGGGGCGNGTAAATGCGCCACACACCTTGAGATATAGTTCTAAGGTCTCAGTATAGTCACAACGGCTGCCCCACCCTTCAAACCGAAACGCATTACTGCTTCACGGCAGAAATAGGCGGGGCGGTGGTACCTACCCGTGCGGACTCACAAAAGGTCCTACCACCAGTAATTACGCAAATTATAATTTTTGCGGGTTTGATTTTTATTACACGATGTTATTCCTTCACCGTGGAAGTCAATCGTGAACATTTGTTGAGTACGTATTTCATTAGAAAAATTGGTACCCGCCTGCGGGATTCGAACACCGGTGCATCGCTCGATACGAATGCACCGGACGTCTTATCCTTTAGGCCACGACGACTTCAAATTTTTTTTGTGGCATCCCTGGAATTCTGTCCTGTGGTCAATTACAAATTTCTGTTCCCACATTCGTGGCCTTCCCAACTATAGACTTGGAACGTTTTTATTCAGACGACGAATTATACATCAATAACTCAGATACCATATGCACGTAATTATAATATACAAGATGTTGGATCCGTTCCAATACCGGGTCGGTCATATTGCGGTTAATGGTCTGAAGGTCTGTATCCAGGACCAGAGCAAAAACTAAGGCGTCCGTAATATATTGTGATCTTGTGCGTGTAGATGGCAGTTCCAAGGTCTAGACAGGATATTGGTATGGTAATTGAACATGGCAGATTCGGTTCGTATTATAACAGATTTATGCGTATTAAGCCAGTTTGCTCGGGTCACGATTATACAAAAAAGCATTTGAAATTTCAACAATAAATCTCAGTAGTATTACAGAATCAGTGAAAGGGAAAGACTTGTGCTACTTTGCAAATGTTTTTAATCCGATGGGTTCTAAAGATTTTTAATTAAAAAAGATGTGTGGTGTCGTGAGACACCGGATATGAACGAAGTTTCTTATTATAAAAATATTATAATAATTTTAAGTTCTATTCGAGGTATAAAGAAAATAATTATTCGGGTATACATTTTTATCATGTTTTTTTTTATTGATAAAAAAAAACTACTTTAACCAAGTTATCTACTTTATTTTATTCACAATGATTTATAAAATATAATAATAAATTGGTTAGGGTTTAGTTCCGGTCCCGGTTAGGGTACACCCCTCCGCATCGTCCCATAAGGAACTTCATTCCAAAAACCTTCGGCCTTCCCGTGATTGTAAGCTTGTGATAGTCCTGAAAGATCGGCAATAGGTGAAACAGAAACTCATGGCATGACCCGTCAAATGAAAGTATTTGAAATGAATGATGGAAACGTGGGAAAGCATTTGTATCATCTAACGATCGTAGCAATGCACTATGTCTGGGTTCTTTGTTGAACAGCAACCAAGTAAGTAGGTAAACATTATGTGAAACTGTGGCGGTATTTACGTCACCTTGGGACATCAGTAGTTTTATAGTGCTTATAGGCTGAGATAGGCAGGTTGCTGGTACCTATTCGTGTGGTCTCACAGGACGCCATACCACCAGTAGAGGAGTGCTGAAACAACTTGGCAATAAATCTGCGTAACTCTGTACACTAATCGTGTGACTTATTGTGGCCTTGCGGTTTGTCTTTGTTTGTCAAAGTGTATGCCTGCACCTTTGTTCTTGTCTTTGTTATCCTGCTTAATAGCTTTTGCGGTAGCTCAATAAGAAAACAGCTATGCGTCATGATAATCGCCTTATCGTAGCCGCCGCTGACTACTCCCCGAATCCTGATCATGCAGGAGCCAGTCACCGTCGACGCCCTAGACACGTCCTTACGGATCCATCAGATCCAATAACCTTTGCACTAGACGCCTTCAGCTCTAGGAGCAGGCTTAGGGACCTCGGTAACCGTACTCGTCGAACTCGACAAAGAGTTCGCCGTGCAACCTAACCCATGAATCAGCTCGCTGAGTTTCTCGCCGGATCTTCTCAGCGGGTCGCGATTCCGATCCGGTAGTAGATTCATTCGCGAAGCAGCTACTCTTGAGTTGTTAGGTCTCCTTCGGAGGCGCTCGGGCAGCTGTTAGCAAATCCCACCCCTCCTGGCTGAGCCTTTGCTCGCCCACCTGTCCTGGTGAAACTGGAAAGGCCTCCGGGCCACCAGTAATCCTTCAAACATAAAAAAAAAATAAAAAAAATAATAAGAAAACAATAAAACGAATCTAGAATAGTCTTTATTGTGTCTAGTAGTCTTTATTGTGTTGTCTAGACCTCGTTGTTTATGGTCAGCGCAAATTAACACATTCAGGTCAATAAGAGAGAGCGATACGTTTGGGCTTTGTAATTAGCTTTTATTGGGAGGTTGTACTAGAAAGTATAATTAACAACGCAATAAATGCGCTAAGACCCAACATATAAACTTAAACATTAAGTTAATTGAATAGGTAATAGAT